AATGAGTGTCGGAGACGAGTCGTGAGGATGACTTACGAAGCATGTACTTATCGAGTACACGAGAGCACGTCGCGTAGGCTAGTCGGTATTTACGAACGATCGCGATTATCGCGAGAATAGTTATGTTCTATTTGCTAAACGAGGGGGATAAGAAAATGATAGAGAATTTATAAATTTCGGTCCAAGTTAGGTAGCTTACCTTTGTGCAGATAGCGCGCACATGGTACTTAGTCTAGGTATCTATCTTATGACTACTTAAAAATAAACGCATCTCGCGTCGTCCATCGATGTTTCCGTAAAGAAGACTTACGGAAACTTCAGAATCTTCAGAAATCTAAAAGCTAAAACAGAATATATTATTGTTAATATAAATCTGAAAGAAAAAGGGATTAGTACGAGGAAAGAAAACGAACGAATAGAAACCATGAAGGTTAACCAAGTGGAAAGTGCAAACCATCGATGAGACATAAGCAAACCAACAACGAAACATTCGAATATTACACGAAATATTCGAATTTTCAAGTAAAGATCGATAGAAAAGAAAAAATAAAATCTGAAAAAAGAAAAATAATTAAGTCCTGGAAAAATAATAAATTAGACCTGCAAACAAAATAATTATTAAGAACCCAACGATGAGACATAAACAACTCAACAATTAGATATGAAGAAGCCAACGATGAGGTTTAAACAACCCAACGATGAGATATAAACAATCCAACGATGAGATATAAACAACCCAACGACGAAACATTCGAATATTATACGAAATATTCTAATTACCAAATATGAATAAATATAAACGAAAGATAACATCTGAAATAAAAAAGTAATTATTATCTGTAAAAATAAAACATAATTAAAATCTGAAAGAAAAAAATAATTAATAGCTGAAAATAAAGAAAATTGATTAATAGGGTGGGGTGTGGTTGGGGTGGCTAATCCCAACCACAATTCGGACCCCCACCACTCGCGAACAACGAAATCTTTAACGTGTCACCTCCGATGTCGAACCGACAAATGAGTTAAGCAGCGGAGCGTCGCTCCTTATATAGCCGCCGATCGGCCGAGCTCCCCCACCCCGATCGAAAATTTCCGAACTTCACCGATTCTATTAATTATTATTTTACCGCTGTAATAGCCAATAATTTATTAATTTTTTCACTTCTGTTATAAATATACATTGCGAGCAATTAATTAATAACAATATTAATATGTTATAAACAATCAGTGCAATAATTTATAAACTTTCTGCAAATTTTTGGTACATTTTAATACAAATATGTCTTAATTTCAAATAACAGCCAAGAATTTATTAATTTTTTTATTTTTATTATAAATTTACGTTGGGGACAATTTGTTGTTATCGATATTAATTTGTTATTAACAATAGGTGTAATTATTCATAAACTTTTTCAAAATTATTGGTACATTTTAATATAAATGCGTCTTAATTACAAATAACAGCCAATAATTTATTAATCCTTTTATTTTTATTGTAAATTTACTTTGCAAGCAATTTGTTATTAACGATGAATGTAATAATTTATTAACTTTTTGCGAATTACATGTACATTTTTATATAAATGCGTCATACTTTTCAAGTAATAGTCAATAATTTATTATTTTTTCCACCTTTGCTATAAATTTGCCAAATTCCAACGTCCCAAAGAGGAGCAATCGAACGGGGAGAACCTTCTCGGTGGACGCGCGTAAAGCAGCGGGGTGAAATTTCCTGATCATTCGGAACACAGGGATGGAAGGTGAAGGGCGAGAGAGGGTCCATCGGAAGGAAGATTTCGAGGGTGGCGATTAAAGCGGTGAAGGCAGGAAGGAACAGAAAGATGTCGGTCGATCGTTTGTCTTAATAAAGTGCGTCGAAGGCACGCTGTTCGGAACGGCTGACTTATGGCTAGTCATCCGAGTAGGCTGCACCCTTCTTACGACCCGTTTCCACCGGTTTTTCCCCGCGGTTGGAAGAGAGAGGCTACTCTGTTCCAGCGATATTCAGAAGGGTTCCCGGGGTCGTTAACCCTGTCTACCGAGTCCATCAATCGAACGAGGGTGGCTGGTTAACGATGCCAAACATTCGTCATCGGGTGGATCCTTCCTCGACCACCCTCGACCCTACCCCCTTTCATCCCCCTTTCATCCTCCTTTCGACTCCTTTACCTTGGTCCCGAGAGGTTTCACCTCGATGGAGCCGGATAACGGTCGAACCTTGGATATTTATTGCCGATTAGAGCGGCAAATTCGGATGCATGAGAAATTGCTCCAGTTGCGGACGTAATAATGGCGATTTCCACCCCCACCCGCTAACCCTGCCCTTTATTTCCAAATTTAAATCGGCAAATTCGTCAGCAGCGCGATCTCGCGGACGGAGTTTAATATTTTACGACTTTCCGTCGTCTCCCTAATTTCACTCGTTTAACAGGCCGCTACTCGAGGCCGCTACTCGTAAATACCAGCTTGGCTGCGCGAAACAACAGAGCGCCATTTGCATAAATAAACAATTATTCGCGACGATTATTTTTAAGCACCTAGCGAGCGTACCCGGCATAAATATCGGCCGATAAATATTCAAGATTCGCTGTTAAGAGCCGTTGCTTTCATCCGGGCAGACAAACCGGACACCTAATGATTTATCATTTACCTTCGCTCGTCGTTCATCGGGGCCGACTTCTCGAAAATCTAGCTTTCCCACCACCGGCTCTTCGTGGGGTCTCTCCTCGACCAGGAATTTCTTTCCTCGCGGAAGGGAGTGTGCGAGAGTTAAATCATAAGCTCCGCTCTAAGACACCCTAAGCAGATTCAGTTAAATTTAATGCAACATACGAAGTTTGGTAGCAAAGCTAGGCGCGCTCTCTCTAAACTAGCTAAACACGCGTTCCGCTTGCTACGACCAAGTCTAAACTCCCGCTACGCGCTATTCTCCTTTAAGAAGCGTCACGTCGCGTGCATAAAGCCCTGGAAGCAGCAGTTAGCCAAGCTGCCATTTGTCCGCATTCCCAGGATCTTTAACCCGTCAGTGTGAACTCGCCGAGTGACACTGGCTTCGACCTCGAGCAACCGCGAATCTCTCACGACGTTTCACCGAACACCTTCCCGATCTGCTTTTCCGCAGAGACGTCCGTGGTGCTGCCGTCCGCCACGTCAGACCTGGACAGGATCCAGGAGCCGGTGAAGGTCGTGCTCTCCAGCACCTGTCATCACGCGTACAACGCTTGCAAGTGAGTAAAAATGCTCTTCCTCTCTTCGCGTATCTTCGTGCATGCCTGTTCCCTGTGTTCCCAAATCGCAATAGTCTCTAAGGTTCATGGGTCTCTGACCTTTGAGCTTTTTCAGTCTCGACAGTTCCGAACGGTAACAGCGACTGCGATAGTTTATGGGTGTAATTAGGGTGGATTAATCGAGACGTCAGGTGTTTAGGATGTGGGACAAACGCGCGATCCATTCCGTGGATTCTCGTTGCAGAAACAACGCGGAGTGCAAGGCGTTGCTGGAGCCGGTGCTGGACCACTGCGACTCGGCGAGCTGCGCGAAGAACGAGTGCATGGAAGCGTTGCAGCATTTCTACAAATTCGCCAACCACAAGCATTCCGTGGAGATCGCGTTCTGTTTGTGCAAGTGAGTAGCGACAGACGTTTCGGCCGATCGGTGATCGGAATTCGAAGGAGGATCCGAGATCGGCGGTTCCCGCGAGACGCGATGCGTGGCTGGGAGATGGAGAATTCGAGCGGACAAGCGCGATCGCGCGATCGTTATCGAAATAACGAGATAAAAAATTCCATAAATCCGCGACACGCAGCCCGTGTGAAAATCGTTCCCCGCTCGCAGCGGCTCCGGCAGAGGGAATATTCCGGCGTACTCGCAAATCGATGTTCGTCGACGGTGGGAAACGAACGAAAAAACAGGGGAAAAATCGGCCACTTGTCGGGGTGCACGGGATTTTATAAATTTCCGCGCGGGCCGAGTTATTTGCGCGTGGAAACAAAAGTTCGCGAAGAAACGATCCGAACGTAGTTCATCCACTTCCAACACATCTGACCGGTATAGACACAATACCGAAGGGATACCGAGTTAAAGGGTACAGGGTTGGGTACAATTGATCCACGAATGTCAGGAGCTAATTAATTTCGTGGCTGATCGAACATGGATCGAAAGATCGAAGACAGACGTAGCTACCGAAGACACTAGCGATCGAGGTTATCCAGATGATTATCGAGGCGAAGCAACGAACACGCGGATGCAGCGTTTTCTGTGACATTGCACGAGTTATTTTGGAACAAAAGCTAGTTCTTCCACGATGAAAGAAACACGCGAAAAATCGGCCATTTGACGGGGCGCGCGTGATTTTATAAATTTCCGCGCGGGCCGAGTTATTTGCGCGTGGAAACAAAAGTTCGCGAAGAAACGATCCGAACGTAGTGCATCCGTTTCCAACACATCTGACCGGTATAGACACAATACCGAAGGGATACCGAGTTAAAGGGTACAGGGTTGGGTACAATTGATCCACGAATGTCAGGAGCTAATTAATTTCGTGGCTGATCGAACATGGATCGAAAGATCGAGGACAGTCGTAGCTACCGAAGACACTAGCGATCGAGGTTACCCAGCTGATTATCGAGGCGAAGCAACGAACACGCGGATGCAGAGCGCGCGGTTATCTCGGAACAAAAGCTAGTTTTTCCGCGACGAAACGAACACGCGAAAGCAGAGACGATTATTCGAAGAGCGGGGGACGAGGAGGTCCCTGGAAACACGAGTTCGTCGGATACGACTCAATTAAAGCCGCTCGTCTTTGTACGTTTGCCGTAATCCTGAGTAAACTCGCGGCAAAAGTGATAGGGAAGGGAGAGCGTACCGGCGCACAAAGAACCGTCGTTGCGCCGGAAATACTCGGAGTTCTGCATCTCTAATCCCTTCGCGCGAGCGCCAACCGGTCGAGGCTTCTTTTCCAAGGAAGCTCCTTTAACTTTTAAGTGGCTTTTGCCCGCGAAACAATGCAGAAACTTTCTATCCGTCTTTCACCTTCCCCCTCCTGCCCCCTTTTTTCCCTTCATCTTTTCCCCGTATGCCGGATTCCATTGTCCCGGCGACCGTTTCTTTGTCCCGTTGGCCCGGAACGAGATATCGGTATCGTCCTGGAATTTATTAATATTAGATGGCCCTCGTTGCGCTCGGAATTCTCGCCTCTTACGAATTGGAAATCGTACGCTCCGACTCCGGTTCGGCGCCCCGGCTGTTCCAGCTGCCGCGATTAATTTAACAGCGTTCGGGATAATTACTCGCGAGATGTCCGTGTAAAATTCAGAGGATCGTCGAACGGAGCCTTCCGTTCCACGACCGAATCGATCTTTAATTAATTAAATTCGTCACCGGGATCGGGCGCAAACGGGTAAAAGTCTCGCGGTATTTGCGGTGGGTGTTGACAAAGCGCGAGGACTCGTGGCGGAGGGGGTCGAGGAGCGGAAAGAAGCGAACGAGGCGTCGCGACTGGAAGAAAAGTCGCCGGAGCCGAATAAAATACGCGGCGGTCTCGTTTAATGCTCGTTGAGCAATACTCGCCTCGCGCTGCCTGGGAATTCCACCCTTAAAACTCGAGCCCCCTCGGAAAGGTGGATGGAGGTCTCTCCATCGGCAGACTCCACGGTGTTCCGTGACGCGGTAAATCGTCTGGTCTTCCCTTTGTTTCCACGCTCTCGCCGCGTCCACGAATCGAGCTCCCTTCTCTGATATCCAAATAACCCTCCAATTACCTGCTGCCTTAACGAGCGAATCGATGATCCCGAGTGGACGCGAGGTCTGACACGAGCGCACGTTTTGCAGGAAAACGGACGACAAGAAGGACGAGTGCATAGTGGCGCAGGAGAAGATGCACCCTGCGTGCGCTCAGCGCGTAGAGGGCGCTGAGAAGCCGACCTGTCACAGTTTGGCAGTAGCCTGCAAGGAGCACGAGGCTTGCAAGTACGTATGCAACTAGGCGACGACTCGATCGATTACTCGATGCTAGCCTGGACAAGCAGAAATCTCGCGATTATGCGAAATTAATACAGCTGGAAGCTCGGCGCTCTCCCAGGGGATGATTAACGTTATTTAATAGAGGGAAAATTAATCCGGGCACGCGCGCGACGACCCGCGTCGCGACGTAATTTCGCGAATCAAAGAGGAAAGGGACACCTGGAGGCGAGATTAATCCCGGCTGTATTAAGATCGGAAAAATTAATCGTCCACGCGGACAACAATGGCGGGGTGATTTGGTCTGGCGTTTATCGCGAGCACGGCTAGATTGTATCGCGGAGCTGGGATAAACCGGACCTTTTGATTAAACGCCTGGAATCCTTTTTTCTCGCCTCGGACAGCCCCGGAGTAGTGGGAGTGCTGGTTTCAATTTGAAAGTTAAATTGCGAGTCAACGAGACGTGGCTTGATCCAGTCCTGCCGCGTAATGAAACACTTCATTACTAAGAAAAAGACGTGCCCGCACTGAAATTACGAAAACGCTCCGAGCTCCTCGGGGCGGTCCGCGGGGTCCACGGGAATCCAGCGGGGGCGAGCAAAGGGTGGAAAGATTGAATCTATTTATCGCCACTCGATTAACGGAATCTAATTAAAAGCCGGTCGTTGATTAATACGATTGAAAATTTCGAATTGAAAAGGAGTCGCGCGCCGACTCTGAATGGATTTACGCGAACGAAAATATTCCGGGTATCGATGAAACGATCGGTCGAATTACATTTCCATACCGTAGACGCGATTTAATTCATTTTTATTATCGCTCCCTGCGAAACGAATTCCCCGTCAACGCACCGGATATCCTTTAATCGTTCCTCGCATTATGCGCCAATTCTTATAACGACGTTCAAAGGCGAGTCGTAATCGGCCGATGAATTACGAGGATTACCCTGATTGCATCGTACAAACACGAATAACAATCCTGGAATTATCATAATTATCCGTGGTATCCTCGTACAGAAAACATCCGACGAATCGGTTATAATAATTGAACTTACTCGACTCGAGTATTACGTCGCATACTCATCGAGCCACGTGCTACGCGCGCGACTGTGCTCCTGTCTCTAATAGGAAACAATCGGAGGAGCTGGTCGAAACTGAGCGTAAAAATTCGAAAATCCCATTAGACCGTAGTCGCGGAGTTGCACACAACGGTTTCCCGCGATTTCGATCCCGACCGAGCGACGTTTCTGCTGTCCAAGCGTTCAGTCCGCGTCGAAACGTCGCGGCAATTGCCTTCGTCGCGTACCGCCTTTGCTCGCGTTCCAGCGAGTCACTTTGCGTATAATCCTCTTACGTCGTAATCCCGGTGTGCTGCGTAGAGCGAAATTGGAGTACTACGAGCAGAATTGCGCGATGGACAGCGTGACGAAGAAATGCGCCGGGCCAACCTCGGAGTGCAGGAAGGCGATGCTGGGAATCCTTGGGACGGAACTGCGGTCCAACTGCGCGTGCAAGGGCACAGAACTCACGCAACTTTACGACTGTCTGGGCTGGCAGAGACTCCTCTGGGTGAATCCTTGCGTGGGTGAGTATAGGGATTTTCGGATCGATTTTCGGATCGATTTTCGGATCGATTTTCGGATCGATATTTCTCGAGTGGGCAAAGCTGACGAGCGTTCAGCAACGAGTGAAAAACTGATCGGTTTGCTTTTCGCGACATTTCGCTACCATCGGGGGTGGATAAATTTATCTATGGAAATATCATAGACGCGCGGTAACGACGCTTCTGTGTTTACGTTGGAAAGAACGAACGACAAATAGATATAGCGAAGAGATATCGCGCAGCCCCATTGGACGGGGTTGACCCTCGATCGTTGAAAATCTATAGACGACACGAGGGGCAGGCGAGGGTGGATCGGAGTGGTATTTTTGTCGCAAACATAATTCGCGGTCGAATAAATCGCGGAGTAGTTTAATCGCCGGTCGATCGCGCGATAAAAGCTGCGGACATAGAGCGTGTCTTTCGCGCGTTAGCGAAATCATCCGACGGGATTAAACATTTGGCCCGAAAGAACGGCGAAACATTCTGAACAATGCGATATGCCAGTCTGTGCACGGTGATTAATGTCTGCACGATTAATATCTGCGCGATGACAGAGCCGATTCCTTTGCTCCCGCTCTTCTTATTTTTATCAGCCCTGCTCCCGATTAAACATGTAATTCGCTCGTTTATTGGAAAACGCGATAAATGGTCGTGTGTCTCTTGACGTGCACGGTCGCTTAAGAAACCGGTGTTCCGCGAATATCGCGAATTATTCCCGGGAAACAATCGGCTGTCCTTTCGTGTCGTCCGCGAACAATAAAACCCCAACGACGTAGAACAGGGTTACCTAAACTCCTGTCTTATCCAGCATCCGCTCGCAAAGGGGGACACAAAGACGCCCTCGTTCGCAGCGATGGTCGAGCGATCGGCGCGGTGTTCGTTGCGATCGTGGAATCGTTCTTACGTCGGTGGAAAGAAGCCACGGGCCGAAACGAGGCTTTCATCGATCCGACATCTGTTACCACGAATTGCGTTGCAAAACTTGATGGTAGCCGGCATTCAGCCGACAGATAAGTCATTTAGATATGAAGAAATTGCACTTGCTGCTCGCTCGAGAAGTGCATCGCCGGCGTACGTGTGTGCCGGCGTTAAATGCATCGACCGGCTCGATCGTCTCTCGTCGATTCCCGATAGGGAATGTAGGTCGAACAGCGGGGTTTGATGCCCTCCTTTCGCCTGGCCGATAAACGTGCTAGATGCAAATTAACCTGGACCAGCGGCTGTAGCGTGAATTTATTTACCCACCCGTTAGTTCCAATCTACGATCCGATCGATCCTACGATCCGTCATTTTACCGATCCCTCGGCGTAGAAAGTCGTCGAGTCGATGGTAGCACCGTTTCTTGACCTGGTGCCGGTCAGGGTATGATTCTGACGATTCGGAGAGATCCGTGACGAGAGACTAAGAACGAAATTGTCTATGGTTTCAGTGGAATCTCAGAAAGATTATCACATCAAAAGGAAACACCATCATTACCCGAGGACCACGACGACGACGACCGTCTCGACGACCACGAAGACACCGGTCAGCACGATGACGGTGACCGTGGTCGAACAAGTGGAAGATAATCAAATACCGGAAGTGACGAGGTGGACAACCACGGAACCCACGGAAACTTGGGAAATCACGACCACCAGCAGCACCACCATAAGCACCACGCCTAGCACCACCACCACTACCACGATGCCCCCGCGTAAGTGTCGTTTCCTTCTCCAACCACGATAACGAATAATCCAGTCTCCCGCCCGTGAGCGTAAACTATCACGTTCGTTATCCGAGCAAAGGACCGTGCAAACGTAATTTAGTCGACGACGAGAGTCGCGATTACTCCGGCCGGTCCGGCGCAGCGATGTACGTCGGTAGTGGAAGCCAATTGGAAGAGAATCTAGTTGACAACGACAGACGATTACATCTGGGGAGGGCGGGGATTACCAAATCGGCAGGAAGTATCGAAATCTCGGGGAAAAAGGACGGCAGGGGGGTGCTGAGGGCACAGGTGTGCGCGAGCGCGGTATTTCTCGAATGGGAAATGCAGGGTTCCTTTGATCGTTGGAACCGGACGAGAAAGATTCTGTTCGGGACACACGAGGAATGTTGGTCTCGCTGGCGCGCTGGAGCCGGCGCGAGCCCGTCGAACGTTACAAAGCGGAGCGTGTAGCGTGGGGTTGAAACGGGCTAAAAGAAAGATTCGAAACGCGGAATGGGTGTGGCGACGGCCGGGTCGGGGGTGGCCGGGGTGGCCGGGGCGAGGGCGGGAACTGGAAAAAGGAGACAGGAAAACAGTTTGCCGGGAAACGTGTAGCACGCGAGTCTGAACATTCGTCTCTTTATAGGCTTCTGTGTGGTTCAAAGGTCGAGGCAAAGTCACCAATACATAAGGGAGGGCGAAGGCAAGAGGGTGAGTTGGACAATCTGCAAAGTATTTTCGCGGACGACCGGGCGCGGAGGGATCCAGGGACTCGCGAACGATTCGCGTGCGATTGGCAAACGAATAGCGTGGGTCCAGATGGAGGAGGGTGAGCGATGAAAAGTCGCGGTGCCTTTTCACGAATCGATAAAAATGACACGGGGCTATTAATTAGCGAGCGGTTGGCAGCGAATCGGGCTAGGTCGCCGCGTACTTTCTCGACGAATCATTCGAGTACGTTCGTACCCGGTTTTCCGTGCCGTTGCTTCGTTTCGCGGAAAGTAAACGCGGTTACGAGTGCCTATTGTGCGGCATCGGTGACTTTAATCGCATGCACGCGCGGATTCAGCGTAAACGGGAATTCAAAGTTCGATTCGGACGAATCGTTTAGCGGAAACGCGAGTCGGGGTGGCATTTAATTGCCGCAAAAATGTTGGAGCACGGGTGAAAATAATAAACAGTCTCGTAATACCGTATCGTGCGACGCGGTTGTAACGGTGATCGCTGAATGCGCGCGGCCGTAGGAAAATTGCCCGCGGAAGGTGAAGAATTTTCTTTTTATTTTTATTTTTATGTTTCTTTTTTCAAACGGGGAAGTTCATTATCTCGTCGATCGATGTTCGCGAATTAGCAACAGCGTCGAATGGGAACTGAAAAGTTTAATTCGTAGTGGCCCGATTAACGTCGGCGATAATTAATATTCAGTGTACGCGTTTTCAAGCCGGGGCTATTCATCTTTGAAACGGAACACGGTGTATCCTGATTATCGTGTTCCATTACAGTTATCGGTTTCGAAATAACGATACGGCGAATAAAATAACCGGATTTTACGTTCGCTGTATCCTTCAATTTTTTTCCCCCGTTTGGAAATCATTGGGAATGGTTGCAAATTGGAGAGAGGGAGATAACGAGGATTTATCGGACAACGTTATTGGAAGATTTCACGTTTTCTCGCCGTATCTTCCCGGACTACGAGCCTTTCCTCGGCTAAGCAAAAACGAATCGTGGCCGAATCGATTCGACGCGACCGGTCGTCCGCGTTGCAGCGAAGAAACGGAAGATTCGAAGCGGAGGTACGATGTTTTTGAAGTTCCATAGGAAAAAGTCGCGTGCTTGATCTTTGCAGCTGTATCGCGAGGACGAGCCGGAGTGCTCGGAGCTGTGCCAGTGCGGCGAGGGCGTAGTTTTGATCTGCAACACGATCTGCGTGGACTCGACGCCGTGCAAGACGGAATTTGCCTACTACAATCACGAATCACCGTCGTATCAGGCGTATCGCGGGCCCTGCCTTTGCTACAGCAGTGATTTCATATGCATGCGGCCTTCGCCCGGTGAATATACCATCCTTCTGAATACGACTCGATCCCCGTGATAACTCCACCGAGTAAACCGAATATTTTTCTACCCGTTTAATTACCAACCTAACTCTCACGGACTACCTCTGGTATTTCTTTTCCTTCCACAATCATCATCGCGAGATTTTTAATAGTCCTATCCCTGGTTTTAACCCTTTGCACTCGGCGATACTTTCGTTACGGGAAAATGGTAATTCGAAGACTTTCTGTCATAAGGTCGACGATATTTCTAAAACGATAGAATTATTTTACTTCGATATTCCACGCATAGTTGGGTAATTGTAAATTTGATATATTAATTAACATCCATCTTTGGAATCTGATTAAATGACTGAGGGGCGCATTTTGAGTGCAAAGGGTTAACTTTATTCGGGTATACCTAGCAATGGATCAAGGTTTTCTAATAATTTTTCTCGATCACTCGCCTCCGCAGATACCTACTCTATACCGCACGGAGTTTTCATGTTCCTGGGCTACAGCGAAAAGGACGAGAGCTTATTGCGACGGCACAATAACCTCACGGTCCTGGACGCGGTGTCGTCCCTCGATAGTTTCATGAGGGAAGAAGTTAACAATCAGGTAAAATATCTCACCGTACCGTCCGCCATTTTCACTCGCTAGCACCTAACCCTTCTCTCTTTCTCGACGTCGAGATCGAAATTGCGCCCCGTTTCGGCGCACCCGGAAGATCCGTTTCGCGGAGGCTCGTCTGAACGGCGGACCAAACGGATTTTAAGCCGGAACGGCGGCTTTCCCTCGGCCCGTGAGTTATTCACGCGGAAACGAGAAAAATCTCGAGAGACAGCGAGAGAGACGGATCGAGAATATAAAGCGAACACGGCCGGGCGAAACTTAATAATACGAGATAGCGTTGGATGACGTCGAGACATATCCCGTAAACCCCCTTTTTTTTTCTTCCACTTTATTTGCAGACAGTGTGCACGCTGTTCCTGTACAACGCGACCCGAGAGAACGTGATTGCAGTGGCGCGTCTCGGGACTGACAATCCACCTTTAAATAGCAGCCAAGCTCAAAGTCTGCAGCACCTCCTGCGCGTCAAGGTGAGTAAATTGCAAATAGCGACGACTTTCCCGGTTCTCTGAATTCGCGTCAATTCTGATCTTATTTTCCGGCGCGCCTGTACTCGCTCGCCCGACCGGCTGGCCCACCCTTGCTACGACTATGTCGTCGTAGCCAGCTTTCCGTTTAGCCCGCCTCTCTATTTGGCCACTCGTCAGCCGTTTATACGTAACGCGTTATTGAATTAGCCGCCAGGCACGCCTTCGTCCAAGAACTTTATCTCGGACTCGGGTGCAGCCCCTTGGGCTTTGCCGTTTGCTCCGGCATTTCGCTGCTCTCTTCCCGGGACAACTCGGCTATTTGTCCCTTCGTCGAAGAATTGTCCAAGAGTCGTCAAAGTGTCGTCGATAAGTAGAGAGATTCGAGCTTTTAATCGCGAACGTTGGAATTTCGTTCGGTTTCGAGAGCTCGCGATCGTTATCGAACCGCTAGGTCCTTGGCGAGGGGGTTTACGACCCCCCTACCATGGCCCTGGGTCTTTTTATCGTAATTTTACGCCCAGGCACGAGGCTCGAGATCACGGGTCCCGGTCGTGACTTATCACCCGCGTGGAGGCAGGAAAGGAAAGGGTAGGGAAAAATAGAGAAGAACTGCGCGGACAGAGAGACGGTGGGATCGCGTGCGCGACGTCGATTGGATTCGCGACGAAAGGGCTGGCTTCGTGTTTACGCGGCCGTGTGCGTGCCACGCGCAGGAAGTGCGTGCGTTATATCCGAGGGGCGATATCAAACTTTGCGCAACTTTTCATTTCTCTCGCTCGCGCCGTCTCTGTCCGGCGTTCTCTCGCCGATCCGCTCAACGCCACTCGAGGGGAGGAAGCGAGCCAGACGGCCGTGCAGCCCTCTCGCAGGGTGGATTATCGCGATTAATTAGCCGGTACGCCGCCATCCTTAATTTCCCCGAAATTTATCCAACGATTCCCTCCTTCGTATCCGATCTCGCGACCCGTTCCAGACACCCAGGCACGGACCTATGCGATTCTGTGCCTCGGGATGGTAAAATTCGGCGGTCGCGCGGTGACGGCGATGTCTGTTTAATTAAAAGAAGTATCGGTTAAACCGAACGATAGCCGCCGGGGTGCGAGGAAGAAACAGTGGTCGCCGTTGATTAAAGGGACGATAATTAAATTCTAAAAAATGCACGCGAGCAGGCGCCGAGTACGATAATCGAACAAGCGATGCTAATTACGAGCGGGATTCGTTGCAGCGGCGCAATATTTCCTCCGGTCCCCGGGCTTTTCCTACCCGTCGCAGCGCAGGAGGGCCTGCATTGAAAAGGCAATTAAAGCGAGACTCGATTTCGTTAGGCAGCCTCGCGAGCACTTATCGCGGTCGAGTAGTCGCGAAATTTCACGGAGGCCGGGCGCGCGCCCCGGCGCGATCTCGCTCGATAAATTGCTTAGCGAGAAACAGCCGCGACCGGCCCGCGGAAATCGTAAATAAGCAGCCGGAGTGGAACCGTGGCGCGACGGGACGCGGCGAATAACGAGACTGCCGATAAAAAGGGGAAACACGGGGGTGAAAAATTGATAAACGAGCCGGATGCGTTCGCGCGGGAAACGCTAAGCCACCTCGTGTCTGAGTTCCTGGACCGCGGAAAAATTCCTCCACGTTGTCCTCGAAACGATCGAGCGGAATGCCCGACGCTTCGTTACTCGCATAATCGTCGACGTTTACGCTCGGCACGGAGCAACGCGAATAAATTCGACTTGGGTTACGCTCGCGAGAGTTATTCCCATTTTCGGGGAAAATTCGCGGAACGAGTTGTTCGCGAAATCAACCTCCACGCGTGTTTACCTCGCCGCTCTCATTTTTCCTGGCTACCTGTATTTTTCCGCGAAAATTCGCGAACGTACTATGGATAGAGGCGCGTTGCAGCCGGGGCGCGAACGCCGAGCATTTTGCGTCGGTCATACGAGCTACCACGGCGATTTCCAATTTGCGATTAAGCGCCGGTCGATTTGCAATTTGATGGAGGGATCGCGGATTCGAATTGGCGCGCTCTGCCCGTCTCGTTCGCCGCGATCCGTTCTCCCTCTTTCGGCCCCGTTCCACCCCTAAACGTCGTCGATTTCCCTGGATTCCGTGCAACGCGTGCACGCAAGGGCGTAGGGTGTCGAATTCCGGCTCGATTGGTCAAGATACCCGCGTCGGGAGAATTTCGCGGTCCGAGTGGAATCGCCGCGGATGGCCAGTGCTCGCGGTGCGGCAAACATCCGCGCGAAAACGCAATTTGCATGCCGCCGTTAAACGCGTCCCGCCTCCCGCCCCGTTACCCCGTCTCCGACGTGGATGAATAATGGCTCGTCGATCGGCCTGGCGATCGAGTAACCGGGAAGCTCGTCGAAAGCTCGCTGTACAGGGTACGCGCGATCGAGTAACCGGGAAGCTCGTGGAGAGCCGGCTGCATATCGCGAGAGAGGTCGGAAAAGGGAGAAGACTCGCGACGTTAACGGTGCAAGTGTAAAATAGCCGGTGCTAATACCGTTAATCAACGAGCTCTTTAATTAAGCCGTAAAAGTGGAGGAAGAAGGTTTCTGGATGCAGGAAGATTAGATGGAATTAGGCAAGATAATTGGATAGATCGCTACGCGAGGTCTTGCGAATTTCCACGAGAATCGAGGCCCGTGGATGCGCGCGAGCCGGAAATTGGACGAGCGAATTTTGGCCACGCGTCGGGCAGGCTCGATTTCCTGGAGGGTGACCCGTGGAAGAGGAAGAGGAACCGGGTCGGTTTCTTTCTGTCTCGTAATTGGACGAGTGATCGGCCGGCGATCGCAAAGGGAGCGAAACGAGTTCCAATCGAATTCGCGATATCCCGGCTTCAATGATCCGTTTTAATCAAATAGCTTGGTCGAATATCGCGTTATTGTTCGACTCGTGGGGCCAAAACGTGCGAGCCACGCACTTCACCGCACCCCGATATTCCTGCGTGCGGCGCGTGTACGCGTATTTTTCCACCAAGCCGCGGAAATGGTCCAACGAGCTTCTCGAGCGCGACTCCATTCGGAACGATTCCCGAATTTTATTAAATCCAGAGGAATCCGGTGGTTTATTTGTTTCGACGAACAGCGACGCGAAGCGAAAACAAAAAATAAAAAATAGAAAAATGAAAAAAGGAAGAAAAGGGAGTAAAAAATATTGAGAAATGATCTCGGGGATACAAGTGTTCCGCAACGAGCTTCCGCTCTGAGGGTGTGGCCGGGGCTGAAATAATTAGTTTCAGCGTGTAGACCACGCTCGAATCTACCATAGACGCTACACCGTGACGATTCACCCCCCGCTCGTTCGAAATCTTTAATTAAGGCTAGTCGAGACTGGCGTCTGGCCAAGTACGCGCGATTAAAAAAAAGCGAGAATCGCCGACGGCGATTTTTAATGTTTTTCCTAAGCGGCTAGCTACGTGCCGCGAATACCCTCGCGCGATTCCGAGCGGAACGAAATTGTTCGGAGAGCGTAAAAACCGGCAGACGCACCAATCACGGGGCCCCCCCTAACGCTCCGTCTACGACTACTTTTTATCGTCTTCGATGGCCACTTTCCAACTTTTTACACCATCGCCGGTTGATGTATCCTGCGAGACTTTCTCAAAGGAAGCTCTTCTTTCGATTTTCCGGCATCGTGGATCGAGAACGATCGCGCGAAGGTGAAAACGGCGGAATCTTCGCAGGGGGGAGGGGGGTGGCTCGCGACCTACGACGGTGGAGGAGGGTAATTAATACCTCGGGGCGAAAGAGTACGCGACAAATACGATGAAATATCGATACGGAAGGATCTCGTAGGCGAGGCAAGAAAGGCGGGAAACGTGGCTGGTGACTCGATTACCAGACCTTATCGGCATAATTACGCGCGGGAAGGGGGCGAGTGTCGGTCGTAAAGGAGCGGGAAGTAAAGGGAACAGTGGGTAAAGCGGACCGCAAACGAACTCGGCGAAACGGTCGCGCGTTCGATCGGTCGCTTTAATTCGACGTGTCGGTCGACCTCGGCATCGCGGCCATTTGCGGGGGCCTGCAAATGAGTTCCTAATAAAGCAATTACGCGACCGGCCGAAGTTATGGCGCGTGGACCGCGACCGGCCCTCGACCCGTCGTAAAGCATGCTTCCGCACGGTAGCTCGTAAATCGATTTTCGGCCCTCTGCACGAGAACAACCTTCTCACCCTTACCGATTGGTTATTCCCTATCCGTGACCCGTGACGTATCGCTTCGATTACCTGCCGTTCACCTTTCGTATTCTCTCTTCTTCCGGTCATTCGATAAGGGTGCCCCTGCGCTCCACGAAGGAAAAACTCGCTGGGAATATCTTCCGGAATTTTCGCAGTCTTCCTCGAACACTGCTCCACCTGTAAAATATAGCACGATGAATATAGGTACATAGTACATGTAGGTTCGCGTTGTAGGTGGATTGACTAAAATAGTGCTCTTCCTTCTTAACCCTTCGCATTCGAGAGGTAACCTTCAGTCACCGTTAGATAAAATTTCGAAGATCGATATTAATTAATATACAAAATTTAAGATAATGTAACGGTATGCAAATAATTCTACGTTTTAATTATTACACGATTTCTTATTTACTGCTGAACAAAATATCGTCAGCTTTATGGCAGAAAATTTTTCAATTTACTACTCTTCTACTCTTCTTTAGCCAAAAAGTCGTCGAGTGCAAAGGGTTAATAGAATAAAATAAGCTTATACATAGACTGACGGCTATGAAACAAGAGAGATTCACTACTGTAAGAATATATATGAGAATGCCAGCTCGAAAAGAGAAGATAATAAACAGCCGTCTTGGGTTTGGCTCGAGGGTTCGGAACATCATCTGGAGTGCGTGCGGAAGGATGAGTGACCGTGCGCAGGATCGTGTGGACGGGATATTTATGGAAGTACCGGCGACAAGTCAAGAGTGTCTAGAAATGCGTCTAAGGGTTTGGGCTACGTGACCCACTGAGTGCAAGGCTACGAAGAATGCGTGGGAAAGAGAGC